ACAGTAACCAAAATTTTCGTCAATATCATCTGGTGTACATCTTTAAAGACAGTCCTGACGTTGTCCGTGTCTGTAGCGGTCGTGAAATGGTAGTAGCATTCGCGAACTTTAGTGGCTTCGCCGACCACGAAGTTGTCAGTTGACGCTTTCAGATTGCGTCGTTCGCTTTTTTTATTTGTGATTTCCTGAAAATGACACAAATCAGTTATTTTAAGATAGATAGGCGAGCCTCGTATGTAACCTAAAAGTGCATACGATAACCTCCAGGTCAGTAACGTATAAGTGACATGTCTCTGCGTGTGACTTTCAAAAACTCTTAGTGCAGTGTATTAGCTCTAAGTATACATAAAGTTAACCTTTTGTGTTAGTGGTATATGTAATTGATAAAAGCAGTAAGCACATCTGTAAACTCCAAATGTAAACTCGGGGAAGTAAAATACTAGTTATTCATACTACTGTACATTTAACCGTAACATATGTGTAAACATAAAAAAATTACTTTTGTCTAAAAAAGGAATTTTTTTATGTTGAATTTAACAAATCATTTCTGTAAATAATATTTTGCATCCTTTGTGTAACAAAGTCACATTTGCAAAAGTCCTAGTTAATTTAATTACTACTTCGTTACACAACTTGGCGTCAATTTCTGCGGCATCGCAAATTGAGCCTTATTTGATTGAATAACCCCAGGTTCTCGAGAAACACAGATGACTCTTTATATTTACTTACCATAAACATACTTCTTATGAACAATCTTGTTCTGTTGTATTCGTCTCCTGACGCTCGGTAACCCTCGTAGGCAGGAAAGTAGCGGCCAATGCTCTGACCTTGTTGTATCTGTTTCAAAATAAACTTAATTTGATTCTACAGCCAATAGCCAGCCAGTAGATAACTAAAAAAATTACCACTACAAAAAAGGACCCTTTTTCTTTATAAGTCAGTGAAGCAACTAGTGGCATTATAATAAGAAGTAGAGCATTGTTTTTTACATTTTGGACAAAGAGGACCTTAGACCATACCTTTGTATGTGTGTAACTAAGTTTCGAGCGTAAAATATATATTTTTATCTAATAGAAAGATTGTATGTGAAAAGTTATATGAATTTTAAATTCCTTCAATCGAGTATACAATAAAAGTATAACTTTTGGCTGTCAATTTTGCGAAAAACGTAAAAAACTATTATCTCGTCTTACCAACGCCATCTAGTGGCTATTTGATTACATAACGAACAAGTCGCGCGCCTGATTTTTTTTTAACGCACACATTCGCAGCCCCGCGCTTTGGCAAACCTGTATCACAGCGGGTGCCATGGACACACACATCGACAACCACAAATTACACCCAAACTCACGAGAGCAATAAATGTAGGCCATACAAACATTTCTCCCGGCCCGTGAATCGAACCCGGGGCCTCTGCGTGGCAGTCCAGCATAATTGCCGTTCGGCCACGGAGCCATTTAATAAGAGCCTGATGATGATTTGGAGCTTTAAGTCACAAAGAACTGAGGGACACTGCCACTGCATGAAGGAAGCGTTTTGGCCGAAAGGTGTCATATATCGGCGATTCCGCGGCCGGTTATCTGATTCACACCTCGCCGACAAGTGCAATACGTCTAGATTATTTCGAAATTGTGTTTTATTATACTATATGCTTAGAATAATAACGCATAGAACGATAGTTTCATATCAAACGAACTGTCACAAGTGAGGCAAAAATCAAATTCATG